CACAGCTCCACACTTGGGCACAAGGCTTGCAAGTTGGGAGGGTGCCTCTGTCCAAAGAAAGAGTGTCCACTACTCTGGGTGGGCACGACCCCAGGTCAGACACCTCGATCTCAGCTCCCACTTTGCTTCTCAGCTGAGATCCATCATGCAGTACAGGAATTGTACAACCATACTTGTGGCCCGGAAGGCATAATATTGGGGACATTTAGAAAGCAGAGGTGAAAAAAGATGAGTTGATAACTGATGGTTCTACCATTATTTAGGGTTGTTTTCCTTAAAGTGTGAAATGCCTCAAGTAATTGATAAGAAAGCATATTCCTGAGACCCACCTCAGAACAACTGAATTCTCTGAAGGGTGGGGCCCAGCAATCAGGATTTTTAAACAACCCTCTCGATGTTTCTAATGCCCACCAAAGCCCACGAATTCCTGGCTTAGCAGCTCTTCTGTCAGAAGTCCCTGGGATCTGCCATATTTGGGAATCTAGAGCTATCTGACTGCACAGAGGAAAAACAGACCATGCCTTCTCTGAGCTCTACAGTGTCATCTCATGTGTCCTTGAGGCCTTCCTGAAGGCTGCTTCTCTGGGCCTGGGGGCTGATGTCATTGTTTTTTCTGGCACCACTGCTTTGCTGTTTCTAAAAAGCACTTTTAAAAGTGTCAGCTTTTAGGATAAAAACTCTAGGAATCTTGAAACAAAGAGTGGGTCGGACTCATAATGCCACACTTGTCCTTCTTCAGCCTCAGGCTCATTTCCTGCCTCCTAGTCCTGTGGTAGAGAGTGTTTCATGCTGAATCCCTTTCAAGGAAGTCTTCTGGAGACACTTTGTTTCCATTTCAGCTTCCATCTTATATGAAGGTTAAATTACATTATCCTAAATTCCAAGGCGCTGATGAGCTTGCTTTGTTGAACTGGTATTTCTGTCATTTTGCGTAATGCTTGAAATATGAATGTGATTGTCCATAGCTGGCCACTCTTCTTTTATTTAGAAAGTTTCACTGGAGCAGAATTTTAGCTGAACCCACATGTACAGATACCCATTGCTCGGGGTCACAGGGCAGCGCCTGTACAACTAAGCCTCCCTCCCTTGGGTGATGAAGTCATTCGTAGACATTGTTCACCACCGTGGAAGGAATGCTTGTGTCCCCTCAAAATTCATATGTTAACTCCTAACCTCCAATGTGATGGTCCTTGGAATTGGGCCCTTTGGGAGGTGATTAAGTCATGAGGGTAGAGCCCTCATGAATGGGGATTAGTGTCCTTATGAAAGAGATCCCAGAGAACTCCCTTGCCCCTTGCCCCTCACCCCCTGTGAGGACTCATCAAGAAGATGGCCATCTATGGGGGTGCCTGGGTGGCTCAATTGGTTCAGTGTCCAACTCTTGATTTCAGCCAGGTCATGGTCTCATGGTTTGTGGGCTTGAGCCCTGCATCAAGCTCTACACTGACAGTATGGAACCTGCTTGAGATTTTCTCTTTTCTTCTGTCTCTCTCTGCCCCTTCGTGTTCACTCTCTCTCTCTCAAAATAAATAAACTTAAAAAAAAAGAAAAGAAAAAGAAGATAGCCATCTGTGAACCAGGAAACAAACCATCTGTAGACATTGAATCTGCTGGCGTCTTGATCTTGGACTTCCAGCCTTCAGAACTATGAGAAATAAATGTTGTTTAAGCCACCGGGTCTGTGGTATTGTTGTTACAGCAGCCTGAACTAAGACATTCACGTTGTTGCCCCGTACCAAGCACGGTGCAAGATACACTAGTGTGAGAGGTTGAGCACATGCCCTACCTTGAAGGTGTTTCATCAAGACCCCCACACCATCCAGTATGGCAGCCACCGGCGACACGTGACTACTGAACACTTGAAATGTTCCAATGGAAGTGTGCTGGAAATGTAAGATACACACCAGATTTCAAAGACTTTGGGAAAAAAAAATAGGTGAAGTATCTCATGAGCAATTGTTTTATATTGATTGCACGTTTAAATCATAATATTTTGGATAAATTAGGTTAACTAAAATTCATTATTAAAATTAATTTTACCTCTTTGTTTTTACTTTTGAAAATGAGTCTGCCAGAAAATTAAAAATCACCTCTAATGCTCACATTATATTCTTATTGTACAGCGCTATTCTAGATGGTGGGAAAGACGCATAACTGATTGCAATCATAAGGCCATATGATTTCTGTTGGTATAGTGGAAAGAGAGGGTGAGCTAGGACCCATTTGAAAGAGCCTTAACTCAGCTTTGGGAGCTAGGGACAGGCTTCTGGGAGGAGGTGATATCTAATTGAGACCCAAAAGCTGAGTAGGAGGGAGGTGCAGAGTGAGGTAGTGAGGGGTATTGGAGGTGACGGGGTGTGGTACATTTGGGGAGCTATAAGCAGTTCAGGGAGGCTGTAACTGGCTGTAGGGGTTGGGGGGAAATTGCCTGGAAAAGGAGTTGAGAGTCAGTTGAGAGAAAGGGGCCCTTTGCTTCTTTCTGTGAGGGAGACTCTGACCTCCTTTTCCTGGAAATGGAATTGGAGATGTTAGAGATGAATGGATGTTTGGTTTCCTTTACATCTGGGGTGGGTAGCGGAGGGGGAGGAAATGTTCAGCAGAAATGGAGGTAGGAGAAGTGTTTGAATGTTTGTTCCTTTTGCTAAGTTTATTTTTTTTTTCGTTTATTTATTTATTTTGAGAGAGGCGGGGCAGAGAGAGAAGGGGAGAGAGAAAATCCTAAGCAGGTTCTGTGCTGTCAGCTCAGAGCCCAACATGGGGCTTGATCTCATGAACTCGTGAGATCATGACCTGAACCAAAATCAAGAGTTGGATGCTTAATTGACTGAGCCACCAGGTGCCCCTAGAGCAATTCTTATCACTGAGAGTATATACTTGAGAGTATATATATTTGTAAATGCAATGCTCCTGTATAAATGCCACTTTATTTATTATGCTTAGTTGGTCCTTGATCTTCATGTAAGAACATTCGAATTGTAAATTCTGTTTGGGAAAATTGGAATGTTTGCTTCAGATTTTAGCCTTTTTTTTTTTTTTTTTTTAGAGGAGGTGATTTTCAGTAACAACAATCCTAATAAGGATAATAGTAATAACAATCTTTTTTAAAGCAAAGGAATCTGAAGGGAGTAGCAGTTCTGACCCTGAAGGTTCACCATATTACAGGAAGGGTACGGCCCAGGTAGTAAGCCAAGGTTATCACACCATTTTACCTTCTCATAGGGTGCAATGCATCCAAAAGTTAAAGGACAGAGATATTTTACATAAAAGAACCAGTAGAATCTCTCTGTTCTTACACAGTGCATCTTTACTCAGATGCCCGTTGTCATCAAAATTCCAACAGAGGAATAAACTAAATGCCTGGCGTGGGATGTTCAGGAAGTTTCGCTTCTGTGTGTGGTTTGGCTTTGCTCTTAATACACAGTAAAACTGTTAGCATCTGGGAGTACATTTATCCGGAAGCGGTTAGTTTGCACATTGCCTTCTTTGCTTTGGGTTTTCCCTAGAGACGTAGGGAGAGCAGAATTTGTCCAGAGCAAATGGTTTTCCACAGATACATGTCCATGGACCTCTAGAAGGCTCAGAACCGGACTGCTTCCTCCTAAGGAAAGAGATTCTTCAGAAAAGGGGATAATTTGGGACATGTGTTCATTCATTCTTTTTATTTGTTGAGCGCCCACTGTATGCCAGGGACTGCACTGGTCACTGAGAAGAGATGAATAGAAAAGGAGCCCTTTCTTGGATTGAGCTCATCACCAGGTCAGAGAGATCGATATAAATTCAAATAAGCCAGCTGCAATGTGGTCGAATGTTACAGTGATGGTAAATATACAAGGCTCTGAACACTGTGAAGGGAGGAGGGCACTCAGGTCTGTCTGGATGAGGGCATACTCGGCAGGAGAGCCTTCTTCTGTGAGAGTTCAGGGCTTGTTTGGGGAGCCGTGAGCTGGTGAGCAAAGCACTTGAAAGAGAAAGTGTTGGGCAGGACAGGTTGGTGCGGGAACGACCAGGAGGGACCTGCTATGGCACCCACAGGGGTGTGGACTTCTTCCAGGAGAGCTTTTAGTGGGAGAGTGACAAGGTCTAGTCTGTTGTAGAAAGAACTCCAGCAGTGGTGAAGTCTAGAGAGGAGGAGGAGGAAGCGCTCCATAGTGCGGAGTCCAAGTCCATTGGAAAACTACAACTGTCTGCAGTTCTGTAGCTTCTCTCTGAAAAGTGTCCCGCCAGCCCCTTTGGACCATGAGGCAAAGGTGGCATTACATTAGAGTGGAAGACTCACCTAGCTCTGTTTGTAGGGAGTGACTGGGGCACATGTCATGGGGATTTGGATAACTGCCCTCTTGCCCGCTCCTGGACTTCCCCCTTGGCTCACACCCACCTCACCAAGTGGGTACGTCTCAGTGAGTTTTGGCATCTAGCCTGTCATGGCGAGGGCTGACTGACTGGTGGTGTAGGGCCCGGCTCTTGCCTGATGCCTGTGTCTCTAGGGCTGACAGAGAGGCTGGACGCTACTGGGTGACGCTGGGCCTGCAGGACCCTTGGTGAAACGAGAAGTTTCCGTTGGCCGCCTGCCAGTGTTCCCACTGCACGCTGACGCTCCACCCTGAGGCAGGATGCCCTGCCCTGCAGAGCAGTTGGAAGTGATAAATACATTTGTTTTTGAACTAGAACCTTTCCTGGCATTGGGGGGAAATGCATCTGTGGCCAGCCTGGCCTCGCTGTCCTCCCGCTGGCTCTCCGTACAATCCAGAGCTGTAGGTAATGATTACACGGGCTTGCCGGAGCCCAAACCTCCAAGGACAGGGGCGCCGGGAGGAAGGGCCCTCGGTCGACTTAAAAACATCAAAGATACCCTAATCACACCACTCTGGGTAATCAAAGCCCAGCACAGCTTTGCCCTTCGTTTCCCTTATTATGGCGATATGCTCTGTTTATCTCAACTCCATGCGTGGCAGGAGGTCAGGTCGCCCCAAGGTACCCTGCAGATGGAGGCTGGGCACTTATCCAAATAGTGAAGCAGTATTTATTTCACTTGTCACCTGCTTAGCAACACTGAGCAATCGGGTGCATTTTTGAAATGTTCCAGAGGCTTCCGTGATCTCCAAACCCAAGGTGCACTCTGGATAGCAGAACTGCCTTTGTCAGGAGCATGCTGGCCAGGAGAGTCGGACCCGGTAAAATAGGGGCAAGGGCTCTTCTGGCTCCTCTGCGGGGCAGTGGGGCTGCTGCGTTGTAAATATCCCTTGTGCAAGATACCTGTAGACAGATACCCGCTGGGCGCCTGTATGTGCCAGCTGCTGTGCTTACTGTGTGAGCAAAGGTATTGAAAATCATGGTGTTCTTCCCTGGATAAAGAACAAAACCCAAAGGTTTACCCTTAGTTTTCTAAGTCATGGCTGTTCTGTTTAAGTATAACTTAAAAAAGGACTGAGGACCACAGATTTGCTGAATCAGCAAAGAGTGTTAACACTGTAGTTTAGAACACTCAGTCTGAAAGCGCATCCATGAGACCAGATCCTCCCAAAGCTGTCATCCTGGGCAAGTTACTCTTCTTAAGTTTCTTTACCTGTAAAAGGGGGACACAAATATTACTTGCCTCATAAGGCCATTAAGGGATTAAAAGAAAACCCAGGTAAATTGAGGAATAATTATTTAGTAACATTGTTATATGCTGGGAGAATACAGCCCCTGTTTACAGGGGTTCCAAGCCCAATGGGAGAAACAGAAAAGTGCTAGTAAACTCAGGAGTATTCACTGGGCAATCAAGGAAGACTTCACAGAAGAGGCAACCTTTAGCTGAGCATTGGAGGAGTTCACCAGGTAGACAAAGACGGGGAAGAATCCTCTGGACAGTGCCAGCAGCTTGTACAAAGAGAGACAGGAAAGAGCATGGTCCAATCAGAAAAACACAGAGTTATTGAAAGGTAAGCATTTTTTAAAGAATAAAATCATGACTCTCATAGAATTATAAATTGAATGTCAATCATAGGTTTTATTTAACTCATTAATTAATAAGGAAGCCAGGAAAGATGTCACAAATGGTTCAAAGGAGAATTCAAAGAATATTCATATGTACGTGGCCCAAAAAGAATTTACAAATAGGTATAAAACTGGTCAATATCCACAGGGCAAAAATCTGCATCTCCAGAGACAAAGTTTGTACTTCTGTGGGCAAGAATCATTTGCTGCACTTTCAGGAATGTACAACTTTCAGAAATGAAATATGAAATAGTCTACGGCTTATGGAAATAAAATATAGTCTACAAATTAGAGACATAAAACAGCTCAAAACTAAGGAAAGATGAAGGTAACTTGATAGGATGCACTGAACAGGACCCCCGGTAATTTTTTTTTTGGCCCATTTTCAAAATGTTCACAATTTTTCCTGGCAGTGGGTTAGGTTTATTGGAGAACCAGAGGGGAGGGTGGGAAGGAGCTGGGAGAGAGGGAGATGGGCCTGAGGTGCAGCCAGGGATCAAGTATAGAGCCTTGACCATCATGCTAGGAGTCAGAAGTTCTCTGCAGCCTATGCTGTAAGGGATGGATCATGGGCGACCAAGGCTGGAGTATGGGCCCCAGGGAAGAAGTGAGGTCTTGAACCAAGGCAGGGAGAATGGAGATGAGGCATGGGAGTGAGCTGCATATGAAAGGAAGGGACATCTGGGATGACTCAGGTTGTGGGAGGAGAGAGGGATGTGTCTGGAGAGGCCTTGAGGGAGGAGCCCTTCTGAGTGTATCCCAAGGGTGCTATCTTCTCGGGAGGCCCTCACTGAGTCACTTGGAAATGTGGACCTTTGACTCTGACCTGAGCTCTCAGTTAAAGAGAAGAAAATTTCAAACAGATCGCTTTCTTGGGAGAAAATGCATGCCCTGATTTTTCTGTCCATATTTTCTAAATACTCTGATTCCTGAGATATAGTTTGGAAAAATCTTATAACAACCTCTCTCCCTAACCCATTTGGATCCCTTGGTTCTGTCATGTAAAGGGGTGTTCATTTTACTGGTTTCCTTACAGTACTGCCCTACCCTCAGCCTTTCTCCTCTCTTCTCTGTCCTGTCCTGGGGAAAGCTCGACTTTCCCATATTGCATCACCAGGCTCCCTCCGTCCTCTGCCTTCTGGTTGGTTTGGTGCCTGGAGCGTAGGAGGGGAGAGAGGCAGGGATATTTGTTTCTGCAGCCCCCTTCCTGCTTTGGTGGCAATCTGACACTGCAGAGTCCCCTCTATGACCACAGCCATTCCTGGGCTTCAGCTCCCAACCAGGCTGTCCAACACCTCCGTCTCCCTTTGCCTCTCCAGGCCTGAGAATGTGATATGGTTGCATCGTGCTCTCCAAAATTCCTCTGTAGGAGTCCTAACCCCCAGTCCCTCAGCACATAACCTTATTTGGAATAGTAAGATATAATTGTAGATATAAGTAGTTAAGCTAAGATGGGGTCATAGTGGAGCATGGCAAGCCTCTAATCCAATATGGCTGGCGTCCATATGGAAAGGGGAGATTTGGGCAGAGGCACACTGGGAGAACACCATGTGAAGATTGGATTTATGCTGCCACAAGCCAAGGAACTGCCAGAATCTAGGAGAGAAGCCTCAAACAAATTTATCACTAGAGCCTTCAAAAAGAGCATAGACTTACTGACACCTTTCAGGCTTCTGAACTCCAGAACATTGAGACAACAAATTGCTATTGTTGAAACCACTCAGTTTGAGGTAACTTGTTATGGCAGCCCTAGCAGATGAATACACGGTAGTAACAGCTTTCTGCTGTTGCTGGGCTCCTTGATTCCACCTATACCTCCAAATAATGGCCCTTCCATTAAACAATCTCTTCAGAACTCCCAATTGAGAGTGCTGTCTCTCTCTGGCCAGGACTATCACTGTAGATTCACAATTGGGTACCAGGTGTGATTCCCCCTTTCCCCTTTGCCTTCCCTGTTGAGAAACGGTATGTTCCTGATCTTTATATGCTCTTCTGAGTTGATTCGTGTTAGAATCTATGTTAATGGGAAACTCAGGAGTATTATTGTAGAGGGCAGTTTGCATTTTTATATCCCGCCATGTCTGTGAATGTCAGCATGCCAGAGGAGAAGGTGGTATCAGGAAACACACACCACTTCCTTGTTGTTTCACACGGGAGGTGACTCTTGAGTATTAGTGCCTACCATCTGGATGACTGGCTTGGCATTCTAGGCCCTCATGCTTGCATTTCCGTGTTGGGATGGCATCCATGTAAGGGTCTTCACCTTAAACTCCTGGAAAAGCAATATTAGACCTAAATAGACATACTTGTTTGTGTCAAGCCTAGTGTAGCGGAAGGGCTTGTTGTGCACCGTGGAGTGCTTCATCTTGTCTGCTCCTGCAGGCTGGAAACACAAATATCTCTTTATCCCAAGCAGCCTTTTCCTCTCGTCTTCTCATGAGCCTCTGAACAAAGCTTAGCCTGTATTCTTTGGCGAGGTTTCCAGATTTCTCCTCTTACCAGCACAATGAAAAGATCTCTTCTTCACCCTAGTAGTTGTATTTATTTTCTCCAGTTAGGACAAGGCACATCACTAGTTATTATCAGGGGTGATAAAGTGACACTTAAGCAGGGTCATACAGATGGCAGATGTCCATACTGTTAATTTCCTCAGACTTGAAATACCAGCATCCGTTCTTTTAACTGTGAGTGGCCCTTATGTGTTTAAAAGCTGGTTCGATTTATCTCTTTCTGGAACTATCTCTCCACAGAATGTTGTGCCAAACAAGTGGATTTGTGGTGGTTTGAGAATCCTCACAGCGCTTCAGGAATAAAGTTTACAATAATAAATGTCTTTCATATTGTTACTTAATGTTTTTCAGCAGTTTTCAAAGTAGTTCTTTTCATAAAAACCCTCTAGCCTATCAGAGTAGTTGATTCTGTCTCAGTTTATGAACCATCTTTTTCCTGGCCAGGGTAGCTCCTGGTTTATAGATAGTAAACAGTTAAATATTTTTTATCTTAATGTTTTTATTTGTGGTGGGTAATCTGGCTTTCCATTTTGGGGAGTATTATAAAACTGCTTTTTAATTTATTTTTATTTTTGAGAGAGAGACAGAGTGTGAGTGGGGGAGGGGCAGAGAGAGAGGGAGACACAGAATTCAAAGCAGGCTCCAGGCTCTGAGCTGTCAGCACAGAGCCCGATGTGGGGCTTGAACTTGCCAACCATGAGATCATGACCTGAGCCAAAGTTGGATGCTTAACAGACTGAGCCACCCAGATGCCCCAAAACTGCTTTCAAAAAGCATAGGTGATGTATAAATTTGACAAATGTTTTAGAAGGCGAAATGACCAAAAAGTATAGGAAAGTTTGTAAATAGTTCCTCACTCAGCAAATAGTTCCAATTTCCCAGAAAGCTTTTAGTGCAATCCAAATACAAATAGAAGAGAAAGAAAAGTCAGAGGCTTATCTCTTTGCCCAGCCTTAAGGGAACACATGGGTCCATTCTCATGGTTGTGGCTGAGCCATTCCAGCCAAGCTCAGCATCTTACAGGAATGTTTAGAGACCCATCACCCTCTGCTCAAGGCACCGTCAGGGTTTCCTCCTCAGATCCAGGAGTGTGCCTTGGGAAGGACTTGCTTGATCTATGAAGAAGGTGCCTCCTTGGGAAGCCAAGACTGTGCCCCTCTGTTGGTGACTCCTGCAGTGAACAAAGCCCCACCTCAAATATGCTGGGGGCAGAGCCAGCAGTAGGCTGCAGGAGGCTCTCATAGGACCATGTAATGTTCACATGCTGTATTGGTTCCCTAGGGCTGCTCTAACAAATTACCGCAGACATGATGGCTTAAAAACAACAGATACTTATTCTCTCATAGTTCTGGAAGCCAGAGGTCCGAAATCCAGGTGTTGGCAGGGTTAGTTTCTTCTGGGGGTTCTGCTTCTTTTTTTAATGTTTACTTATTTTTGAGAGAGAGAGAGCGCAAGTGGAGGAGGGGCAGAGAGAGAGGGGGACTGGGGATCCAAAGCAGGCTCCATGCTGACAGCAGAGAGTGTGATGCGGGGCTCCAACTCAGGAACCATGAGATGATGACCTGAGCTGAAGTCCTACGCTCATCTGACAGAGCCACCCAGATGCCCCTGGGCGTTCTTCTTTATTTTTATTTACTTTTAATTTTTATTTTAGAGAGAGAGAGTGCGAGTGGGAAGGAAGGCAGAGAGAGAGAGAGAGAGAGAGAGAGAGAGAGAATCTTAAGCAGGCTCCATGCTCAGTGTAGAGCCTGACATGGAGCTGGAACCCATGAATCATGAGATCATGTCTTGAAGTGAAATCAAGAGTCTGATGCCCAACCAGCTGCACCACCCAGGCGCCCCTCTTCTGGGAGTCCTAAGGGAGAACCCACCCCAGCCCAGTCTCATAGTTTCTGGTGTTTGCCCGCCATCGTTGGTGTTACTCAGCTTATAGGCACATCACTCCACTCACTGCCTCTGCCTTCACATGGCCTTCTCTGTGTGTCTGTCAAAATTTCCCTTTCCTTAAAAGGACAGCAGTCATTCATTGGTTTAGGACCTACCCTAATCCAATATTAACATACCTTCACTTGATTACAACTGCAAGGATCCTATTTCTAAATAAGGTCACATTTGCAGGTACCAGGTGTTTGGACGCTTCAACTTATCTTTTTGATGGACACAGTTCTACCCAGTGTGCGTGGTAAGTAGGGGCCACAGCATTTTAGAATTGAAGAATGATGCTCAAGTGACTGGGATCCAACCCTAGCTTTCCACTCGTACTGTGTTAGGAGCTGACTATGCTCTGTCTCTGCTTGTCAGCAGGATGAAAGGATAATAGCAGTGCCCACCCCTGGAGCCTCTCGGGGGGATTAGATGAGAATATCTGTGTGAAACACTGTGCCCGGCACAGACCAAACTCCAGTAAATGTTACATAACCTTATATAGCCTCCGCATATGTCCAGTCAGCCTCTCATAAACTAGGATGTGTCATGCGGGACCCGTGCAATAAAAAATGACACTTTCCTGCTGGTCTGGGGAATATGAGTAAGCTTTGGGAATCAAGAATAAGGGCTTATGTATGGTTATATTTTGATTTGAAAGAATAACCCTTTTGATGATTATACAACACTGTGGTTTCTTATATAAACTGTCAAATGATATCTTCTATTTGAACAAGGCTTCTCACTTTTCATATAGCATTTTCATTTCATTCTCCTATAAACCCTGCGACCATGGCAGGGTAGGTGTTGATAATCTCATTTTATGGGTAAGGAAACTGAGACAAGGGTAAGAGATTTACTTTAGATCAGCGAGTGTAGCAGAGAAGTCTGGCTGGCCACCTGATTTATATTCTCTCCTTTTCTTTGCCAGCAAGACCCCTATAAAGTTCAGATTGTGATATGTCCAGCTAAAAAAGAACATTCCCAGACTCTTTTGACAACAGGGCTGGCCAGTGATGTGTAAGCAGCAATGGACAACGGGGAGCTTCCAAGGCAACCCTTTGAAGAAGGCCAATTCATTTGGCAACAAACCCATTGCCAACCTGGGGTGTGTGCATGTCTGTGTGTGTGTGTGTGTGTGTGTATACTCATTTTCATCTGAACTCAGGGTTCGTTTGTTAACATTTGAAGTCTCTAATCAGGAATCCATACCCCAGGGTATGATGGGTACTTTTGGAGGGTCCTGGTCAGGAGTCCACTCTCCAAAGATGGCAAAAGACAACCACTTGCATCTTAACTAGAGGGCCTCTTAATTAGCATGAGGATTTTCCTGGATGAAATGTGGATCAGCTAGAAACATTGTAAAGGTAACTGTTCCCTTGCATAGTGTGATGGTAGAGTCAGCCCGCTAGTTTAGACCCTTTTGGACTTGTGCTAGGACAGGGGCTTTTGAGTTTTGTTCCCTGATGTGTACTAGAGGATTCAGCCACTAATACAACTAGAAGTTGCACTAATTCTGTTATTGACATGCTGTCACTTTTTCCTTCCTTAAGTGAACTTTCCATGCAGGGTGTCAGTGGCTACTGCTCTGAGCTTATTAAACGAGTGGTATGACATTTTTGTGCCTGCTTATTTGTAAATGTTTTATGTGTGGCAGAATTCTGAATGAGACCTGTCCTCATTTTGACACACCTCACAGGGAGGTAGTTGAGGTGAGGGAATGAAAGCTCTCACCCACCTCAAACTAGTGGGGTTCACCATTATCTATCAACAAAAGAACCCGATGAATGCAAATGGCCAAATTGGGCAGCCTGTTCAAACCTGGCAGCCATGTTTGAACAGGTGATGGTCCTACCTGCTGTGGTTACTTAAACAGAGGGAGACACGGGCCCCAGCAGTGCCCGTTCGGTCCTTTCTCTTGCAACTTTGGAATTGAGACTGAAAAAATAATGTCGTCAGGCTATACTTATTGCTAAAATGGAGGTAATGTAAGCCCAGGCAAGGTGGGGAGGATTTGTGGATGGACAGGGAGGGAAGGAGGTCTGCCAAGAGAGAAGGAGGGGCCACACATGCGTGGAGACAGGGATAGGAGGTCATGTGGCCCTGAAGAATGAGGATGGGAGAGCACAAGACTGCAGGATGCTTCCTTAGTTCCCACTGGCTGACTAGTTCTGGGGAATGTCTGACTGATCTTGCCCTGAGGTTCTCTGTATCTTTATAGTAGATTACTGCTTATTTTTGCTTAAGTGAGTTTGAAGTGCTTTCTGTTACTTTAACCAAAGGAACCTTGATGCAATTCAATATCATGCTGGAATGTATATAAATACCTTCTTAAAAGGTTTGCATATCTGTAGACTCTATTAATATCCATTCCTCCCAACTCCATTAACATACATCTTGAACACGCACACACACAACTCTCTGTGCACTTATATACTCTGTTCAATTACCAGATTGAAACTCCCCACATACCTAGATACCTTAGCAGCACATTTATTTCTCAGACTCCATAATACACTTGATTAGGTTTTAAGCAGACTTGAATAGATCAATGAAAAGAAAAATATTGCAAAACTTTTCTTTGAGCTGAGTCCTCCTTCTTATCAGTAAATTAAGTTCCAGGTGAGATGAGTTTACAGCAGACCTCACAGCACAGTTCTTGGGTGGATTCCTGTTCTTTACCGTACAAAGCACAAGAAAAGAAGTTCACATGTGAAGAACGGTTCCATTCATTAGTCGTTCTTTCACCGCATGGGTATCTCTTGAGCCTATCATGTGCTCTGCTCTGTTCCAGTTGCCGTGAATCCAAAGGTGAGTGAGATTCAGTCCCAGGGTGAATCATACCCAGGGCGATTTCTCAAATCTCAATTATATTTCCTGGTTTTTCAGTTTTCTCTTGCCATTCCCATACCACTGTGACAGATTCTGTACCTCTAGGTCCTCACTTTTTCATTCTTTCTTTCTTCAAGTTTAATTTTTTTGGTCTGTCTGGAATTGGGGAATGATCACTCTCCTTTACTTAGGATTCTTTCCCCAATATGTCACCCATCAGGATGTGGTGTAACTTTGACCAGACCAGATACACTCATCCTGGGGACTTCATCCTGGCTGTTCCCTCTGCTAGGAGAGCTCTTGCCCAGGTATCACTCTGGCCCATTCCATCATCCCCTTCAAGTCTTCATGCAAACATTACCTTCTCTTGACCACCTGCCTCAGTACTCCTGATCCCCCTCCCATCTCCTAAATTTTTCTTACCGCATAGCATTTCCTATCTTCTCACATGCTGTATAATATCCTTATTTTTTAATGCTTACTGATGGCTAGAATGTAAGCTCTCCAAGGGTAGGGATCTTTGTTTTGCTCATGCTCCAAAGGCCTAGAACAGTCCCTGGCATACGGTAGGCCCACTATGAACGTTTGCTAAGTGGTGATATGGGTGGTGGTATGGGGGCAAGTCCATTTGGGTGAGACACAAAGGCAAACAATTGAAATCTACTTGCAGTCAGGTGTTTGGATCTGTACTCACTCAGGTGACCCTAACAAAGGCAGTGCTAAGATTAGAAAGCACAGAGGTTAGTTGGAGCTAGTTTTATCAATTTGGATGAAGTATAGTGTCCACAGGTACACAAAGCAGTTGGCATCCATGGGCAGAAAATATACGTACCTGTGACATTCTTTTTTTTTTTTTTTTAATTTTTTTAAATGTTTTATTTATTTCTAGGAGAGAGAGAGAGAGAGAGACAGCGTGAGCAGGGGAGGGTCAGAGAGAGAGGGAGTCACAGACTCTGAAACAGGCTCCAGGCTCTGAGCTGGCAGTCAGCACAGAGCCTAACGCGGGGCCCAAACCCACAAACTGCGAGATCATGACCTAAGCGAAAGTTGGACGCTTAACCGACTAAACCACCCAGGCGCCCCGTACCTGTGACATTCTTTATGAGAACATGGATGGATAGAAATATTGATGGGGAGTAGTTTAGATTGCATATTATATTAGCATTTACATGTAATACTTTAATATTTAAGGCTGTGGCTTTCCTCTTGATGTAATTAGTTGTTAGGTTTATGTAAAGCTATTAAAAGAGCACCATTTAAAAAGAAAAGAGGGGGGAGGGGAGGGGGGTGATGGGCATGGAGGAGGGCATTTGTGGGGATGAGCACTGGGTGTTATATGGAAACCAACTTGACAATAAACTTTAAAAAAAAAAAAAAAGAAAGAAAGAAAGGAAAAGAGAAAGTTGGACTCCAATGGGGCAAACATGGAAGATCAGATTGTGATGTGTACATGAGATATTTACCAAACATTGATTGGTTCCAGGCAACATGGTGGTGTGGAAGACACTAGTTCTGATTTGGGAGGTCCAGGTCAAGTTTTGGCTTGGCTTCTTCCCTGGGGTCTTTGGGTAAGTAATTTATTTCATCTGTTTGGGCTTGCCTAGACCATCTGTAAAAGAAGGGGATTGAACCAGATAAACATTAAGATCCCTTAGAGCTCCTAAGGGCTGTGAAGGTGGTGGTGGTGGTGGATGTGTTGGGCATTGTGCTGTACTCTGTGTCCAAAAGAAGAATAAAGTCAATCCCAAGCCCTCATGCAGGTCAATATTCAGCAGGTGAAATATGCACCAAATCTTACTTAAGTTTATAAAGGGGCGAAATGATACAGGAAAACATTTCTGTTTCTTTAATGATTACTAACTTAAAAATGTATCATGAAGTATTGGACCATTTTAAGTTAAAAAATGGAGACATTGATCTTCTAAGGAAAGAAAGATCATCTAACATAAGGATAAGATAGAGGCACAAAGAGAACTAGAATACCCCTTCCTGCAATGGACTGAATGTTTGTGTCTTCCCCGCTCCCAAGGTCATATGTCGAAATCCCAACCCCTGATGTGATGGCATATGGAAGTGGGGCCTTAGTTCATGAGGGTGGGGACTTTGTGAACTGGATTGGTGCCCTTATAAAAGAGGTCCCAGAGAGCTCTCTTGCTCTCCTTTCACGTTGTGAGGCAGCAACAAGATTTGTGCCACCTGGAGGGAGCCTCACAGAACCCCACCATGCTGGTACCCCAGTCACAGACTTCTTGCCTCCAGAACCATCAGAAATAAATTCCTGTTGTTTCTGAGCCACCTACTCCATGATACGTTATGGTACAGCCTAACTGCCTCAAAGTCACAGGACTTAGTTTTCCTTCCTTCCATATTCCTAAAGATAATCATGTAGGACTTTTCAGTTTTTTCCCCAAATCACCACATTTAACTTTTCAAACTAAAGAATTGCCCTTTTCATGGAAAATCTGGATTTCATATGGAAGAGGAAACATAATAAAGAAATAATTATGTCACAGGGCACCAGGCAAGTATTCCCTTCCCTCCACCAGGGTCAAGGCCACTGTTAACTCATCTGAAAAATGGCAGTGCTGTGTACCTACCCAACTTGGCTATTATTATGAATATCATCTTTAGCATAATAGGCAATTAAATTTAATTTTATGTTAATGATAATTTAACAATTTACCAAAAATAATACACAGACACCCTCCCCTATTCCTAAGTTTTACAGGAGAAATGAGGTCCAGGGAGGTGAATCAGTTAACCCAAGGATACACATGCAGTGCCTGGTAGATCCAAGGTTAGAATCTCCCATTCAATAAGCCCAGGGAACTGCACTGTGTTCTGTGGACTATAGATGAGCAGATGTCTGCAGAGCAAGTGTGAAATCTAAGTAGTGGTAAAGGACTTTTGGTTAAATATGGCTGATTGAAGACTTTCTCTTCCAAAATCCCAACTAAAAATTCTAGTAGAAGAATAAAAAAGGTATAAATGCACAAAAACGGATGCCCTGGAAGGGGAACTCTATAGATTTTGAAATGGCTGCATAGTTTGGGCAGATGGAAAGCAGATAGAGAGGTGGCAGCTGGTTTAGCCCGCAGGGAGGCATTCCAAGAACCTCTACAGGAACCCCAGAGAGGCTGAGGTTCTGTGGCACCAGGTATGTGGGAAGCAGGGAGGAGTTAGGGCACTGAGTACAGAGGTTTGCTGGGAAGTTTGGGTCTAGATCCCCAAGTGCCCTCCCCACCCATGCAACCAGGCAATGCCTCCCCTTCCCGTTCCTCTGCCTCCTGCTTGCATAGCCTGGAAGTTCTTTTCTAGAAGCATGGAGCAAAAAGGACTCTGAACATAGCCACCTTATATACAGCATGGGACAGGAAGGAGGTTTGATACCCAGGGAAAGTGGAAAATCAGTACTGAAGTCACCCCTGCATGGTGGTAATTCTCCTACACAGATCCTGCTTATGCTGGCAGCCAGCATCCTCTTTTCTAGCAGGACGCCAGGGTTCTGCCCTGGGGGAACTGAGCGGCTACAGAGGAAAGCCCTACAGAGCATGTCATTTGGGGTCCCACCCTGAAAAGGCTGGCTCACTGCCTGGTCTCTGTCAATGAAATTCACCAGCTGATAAGCCCTGCCCAAGGCCTCAAAGCAAACCCACAAATCAAGATTCTGTGATTTTAGTCTTCAATGTGAATGAACATCCAGAGGTTGTCTGATTCTGAGGAGGAAAGCCTTCAATATGAAACAGACCAAAATCAGTCAAGCAGGAAAAAGATGTAGGAGGAAAGAGAAACAAAGCAGAGGGAACAGAGTATAACTTCTCACACACACAAAACATATACTTAATGCTTAATACCCTTAGGGAGTTAAGAAACAGTGCTGTACCCATTAATCAGAAGCAGGATGCTTTAATTCAAGAATGATAAGAGAACAAGGCAAAGGAATTTTTTGAAGTTAAAAATAGAAGAGCTAAAAAAGGAAGATTTGATAGATGATACAGTGGGGAAAATCTCTCAGAAAGATGAGCAAAAAACCAGAGATGACCAATAGGAAAGAAATGATAAAAAAATTAAAGGTCTGAACCAATAAAGCCAAGAGTCACCTAATTGGAATCCCAGAGAGAATAAAGAAAATGAAGGTGAACGACTTGGGAAATAATACCAGAAAATTTCCTTGTGAGTTTCAAAAGATCCACAGCAGGTCACATCACTTCAAGTTTTCAGCAACTGTGAATAGGGAGAGAATCCTCAGCGTGTCCCTACATGGGTAAAACTGCCTCTGTTCAAAGGAACATGAATTGGAATGGCGCAGGACTTCTCCATAGCAACACTGGATGCCAGAAGACAAAGGAAATCAGATTATAGTTGGTTTCCATCCTCAGCAGTGAACAATATGTCACAGTGTAAACATGGATTGTTGATTATACCAAAAATTATAACTCAGCTATTCTGAGAGAATAGGGGGAGGCAAAATTGGGAAAAGGATGTCACAGTCTACTGACCTAACAGGAAGCCAATAAACGGTGTCCCAAATGGATCAACCAATAGCTGTATAAGCTTATTATTTAGAAATCTGGGGGAAAATATAAAAAATAACTTAACGGACTTATCAAGGGGAGCAGGACACTTTTTTTTTTTTTATTATAGGTCTTGTGTTATTGGACTTTCTCATCTACTTGCATGTAGATGATAAGATCCATGGGAGAACCTTGAAAAAAGTTCCCTCTTCCCGTTTCCTGATCTTGGTAGCTTTGCTGTCTCAGAGGAGGTGGCCTGATCTTGGCTATCTCATAACCGCTTCGATGTGAGGCGATCTAGGTTCCCCTTGCTTGGGTTTCAGGTGCTTGCTTTGTGGCAGTGTTGTCACATCAGGTGGAAGAGAAAGAAGTCCCCAGTATGGCTTTGTGCCTAAGCTCACATGGGCAGATAAAATACGTGAACATGGTTCTTTGTTTTCATGGTGATATTTATGCAAAGTTATTTTCCCTCTTGGTGTTTATCTTTTGGCCAGAGTTGTAAGGACGGGATGGACTCAGGTGGTGAGTAATGGCTGAGTCCCATTGTTCCCCCTTGTGGTGACCCCACCCTGAGCCTGAAAGCCAGCATCAGCTTCATGCCGTCCAGTGGGGTAAAACCAGCCTTGCCTTTGATGTCCTGTGAGTTGTAAGACTTTTTTTTTGCTTTGATATTAACATGAACTTGGGTTTGCATAAGCCAACGTAGGACAATCATGTCATGAAGAACCAAAGCTTAGAAGTTACATGCAATGAAAATAAATCCTTGAAAAAGTTGGAGTGAGAGGAGAAATCTAGATTAGGCAACAAACTATGGAGCCCCCCAATTTAAATGTTAATGGGCAGACCTCTCTGAAGTGCTATAGCTCAGGAAAAAGAATTAAAATATATGCTGTAGGAGCCTCATCTCTTTGGTGTTTGCCTTCCCATCTAGGGGGTCTCCCTCCTAGGAATCACAAATTCCTGGAGTGCCTTATCAAAGGGGCTGCTTTCCTGGACCTTTTATTTGAGGGAGAGGCTGTAGCCAGCAGTGAGGCCCTGAGGGAGGAGAGGATGTTGCTGCCAGGAGCGGCAGCCACAGATGAGTGTCCCTCAGGAGCCAGTGGTGAGGCTGCAGACCTCCCTGCAAAGGTGGGTGGGGCCCTGGGCCAGGACACGGTGCTTCCTTTCCTTCGGGGCTTCCTTCTTCTGCCTTCAGGGCTTGAGGTCTGTTTTCACCTTACCAGGCCAGGGAGCCCTCACAAGACAGTATCCAGGCTCTACTGCCCACTCTGTGCTTCTTGCTCCTTTCCCAACCCCCCTCCCTTCTCCCTCTTTTTTCCCCGTCCTCCTTTCCTTTTTCTTTTTTTTTTTCTTTAATATACTTTATTGTCAAGTTGGCTCACATACAGTGTATACAGTGTGCTCTTGGTTTTGGGGGTAGATTCCCATGATTCATCACTTATATACAACGCCCAGTGCTCATCCCAAGTGCCCCCTCAATGCCCAATCACCCATTTCCCTCTCTCCCCCACCCCCCTCCATCAACCCTCCATTTGTTCTCTGTATTTAAGAGTCTCTTACGGTTTGCTTCCCTCCCACTCTGTTTGTAACTATTTTTTCCCCTTCTCTTCCCCCATGGTCTTCTATTAAGTTTCTCAAGTTCCACATATGAGTTCCACATGTAGCCCTGTGCATCAGCACTCCTGTATCCTTTGGATAAATCCCTCGTAGTACTATTGCTGGGTTATAGAGTAGTTCTATTTTTAATTTTTTGAGGAACCTCCACACTGTTTTCCAGAGCAGCTGCAGCAGTTTGCATTCCCACCAACAGTGCAAGAGGGTTCCTATTTCTCCACATCCTCGCCAGCGTCTGTTGTTTCCTGAGTTGTTAATTTTAGCCACTCTGGTGTGAGGTGCTATCTCAGTGTGGTTTTGATTTGTATTTCCCTGATGATGAGTGATGTTGAGCATTTTTTCCTTTTCTTATACAATCTGATATATTTTTCAGCTAAGTGCTGAGTTCTTGGGGCAAAATCGATATGTGGGTGTCCCTGTGAGTTTGCTGGGACTGGGGGAGATGAAGAATTGTGTTTCCCAAATTTTTCTTATTTACAATCTTCCTGGTGACTTAAAAGAGAAAAGCACCAGCTGAGATCTTTCTGCCCTCCGATGAGGTCCTTGCTGAGCTTAAGCAAGTGCACACCAGTCTGGGTCAGCCTCTTTTGAGTGTGTGTGGGAGCAGAGGTCGTGGTGAAAGCCACATTTCTCTGATGAAGAATGCTCATTAACATTTGAAAAGCAAACCTGGGCCTCTGCTCTGCTTCTCCTTGTCTGTTTTGAGAAGCTTGTCCAGGCCCTGATTTTCTCTTCCAGAAGATTCCTCTCATGGCTCTATGTCTACACCTGTTGATGAAATCAGTCACCCTCATCTCTTGTATAACTGTCTAGAAAAGTCTAGAAGATGCTGGTGTTTTTGTAGTGTTTACCACAGACAAAAGCAAATGCTTTCAGCAGCTGCCCATTCAGAGGAATTTTGGAGTTAAGTTTCAATATGTCCATCCTAAATTGCTGACCACCCACCCTCTCTGGGGCTTTTAAGGCTCCTCAGTAGTAGCCCCAGCTTCTGATGTCAAGGAGGGCCTGTTCCGGCCTCTCCCCTATTGTAAGTTTGCTTCCTTAAGAAAAAAAATGGAAGGATGTACCACTCTGTTACCTGAGAGGAAAAGAAACATTCAGTCTGCAGCTTGGGTAAAATGGTGTGGTATTTACAAGAAGTCATACACTGTTTTATGTTGCATTCCTATAGTATTGCCCACAGAATGCAAAAATTTCATTGTTCTCTATGCAAAAAAACCCAAGAACAGTTTTCATAAACATAACTGGCATCAGGATAACCTGGGGAATGGATAAAATGCATAGGTTACCAGGTGCCTATATGGAAGCACATTCTGAGAAATCCTGATCCTCAAACTTGTGGCTTTAAGTGTCACAAAATTGGACATGATCTTAAAGCTCATAAGTTCCTGGGGCGCCTGGGTGGCTTAGTCGGTTAAGCGTCCGACTTTCACTTAGGTCATGATCTCGCGGTTCGTGGGTTCGAGCCCCGCGTCCGGCTCTGTGCTGACTACCAGCTCAGAGCCTGGAGCCTGTTTCAGTCTGTGACTCCGTCTCTCTCTGACCCTCCCCTGCTCACGCTGTCTCTCTCTCTGTCTCTCTCTCTTAGAAATAAATAAAACATTAAAAAAAAAAAAGCTCATAAGTTCCAGCCCCTCATTTGATAGAGGGAAGACTGGTTTCAAGACCTGAAGAGACCCTCCCAGGCTCCTACAACTTACAGAGCTCATGTGGCTCCCCAGAGCAGAAGCAGGCCATGATCTTGGTTCTCGGCTCCCTGAGGACCCTGCCCTGCCTAGCTGCCTCAACGATCCTGTGACCTCATTTATTTTTCTCTGCCAGCCTCCCCTGATCCTGCTTCCTCCCTTGTCTCTGCTCTCAGTCACACCAGAATCCTGGACTTTGGTCCTTCTTCCTCTCTAATTTTATTCTACCCCTGGCCCCGCCCTCCTTACTGTCTTTCTTTCCATTCTACTACTGTAGTGATGGAGAGGACCTCTTTCCTCCAAGTGATGAACTCCTACTCCGCCTTCAAGACCCAACCCAACTTTTATTTTCTGCAAATATTTCTGAGACCCCCATCAAACTCAGGTAATTTCTCCTACCTCTTAAAATTTTATATGATCCTGGCACTTATATAGACAGCCCTCCTTCCATTGTGTTTAATCTTTGTTGCTTGCCTACCTCCTCCACTAAAGTGCGAGCTCTTTGAGGCAGGCGCCCTAACTCTGCCTCCCCTGTACTTTGCTGTTCTGGTTCACTATTGTTATGGGAGAAAAATACCCCCGAACATAGTGGCCTAAAACAAAAATTATTTGATTTGCTCTTGCGATGTGGGCAGGGACAGCTTGTCTCTGTTGCGTGCATTATCAGCTAGGGTGGCTCCGGCCAACATTTCTAACACAGCTCACTCACGTGGCTGGCAGTTGGTACAAACTGTCAGTTCCTCTCTATGTAGCTTCCTCACAGGGCAGCCTGGGCTTCCTCATACAATAGTGTCTGGGTTCCCCAAATACAACCTGAGAGAATCAGGTGGAAGAAGCTGTATTGCCTTTTATGACCTGGCCTTGGAGCTTGGAACTCAAATACTGTCCACTGTGGTCAGAAGTTGGGAAGGGAACACTGATCCCACCTCTCTATGGGAGGAGTGCCAGAATCAGACCAGAAAAAGAGCTTGTGGGGTGGGAAATGTTAGAAAATGCACCTGTCACACTAGCACAGGGCCTAGGACTCAATGAGATAAAAGATTAGTAGATAAATGAAGAATTCTATGAACAAATAAATGACTAAATAAAGCCAACATCCCAAATCTTTGCATTACCAAAAAGAGCAGTGGCTCCTGAGGGGTTCTAAAAGGTACTAGGTCTCTTAGACTCTTTGGGGTAAATATAATTTTCTTAATGCCGAGTTTTATGTAATGGGGAAAGAAAATGGATTCACAGAATTTCAAGATACATTTCTCTCTGAATTTTAAATTCTCATGCTGAGACATGGGGTGTCTAGGATGTAGGAATGGAAGGGAGATTAATTTTTAATTCTATACCCTTCTGTACACTTTAGAGTTTGAACCACGTGCAAATCATGTACAAGTACATATTATTTTAAGTGTGAAGTCCAAAAATGAAATTTAAAATTAAATTTATTATATCGGGCATCATCATCTACTTACTCTCAAGT